GTGGCGCCACAGCCGCTGGGGCAGCGCCGCCACCAAATGAAGCGACACGAACGAAAAGACGTAGGCAACGACGACAGGCTGAGTGGACAACACACACCACACAGACACAGAGAGAGCAGACAATGAGGATGTGTGTGTTTGCCAGTGTTTTCGTTCGGTACATCTTACGATTTGGCTGAAGCGCTGTGCGAAGGCCTCCAGATCTATGCTATGCGGCACGTGCGATGCCGGCTGCTGTTGGTGCTGCTGGCCGTCCGTCATGGCCTCCTCACCACTGGTCTCCTCCCAATTGTCTCCTCCTCTCCACCGACCCGCCTCTGCCGCTTCGCCACCGCCTCCGAATCGCTCATCGCTCAACACCAACACAGTCAACTATCTACCGACCAGACGACAGCCCGACAGCATCCGGCCATGGCTGGGCTGCACAGAATGAATAATCCACGCGTTCAAGTGAATGATCCCTGGTGGACGTGTTGTGTTCGGTGCGCACTGCACGGACCAAATTGGCACGGACTCCTCGTGTGCATTGTCTGTCCTTGGAGCCATCCGCAGCCCGCCTCTGCCGCTTCGCACGGGCGGCGGGTTTGAACCCTGCAGTTGGAAACCCTGACGATTTACACTGTCGGTTGAGTGGAATGAAATGTGTCCAAACCCCCACTGAGAGTTCGCACGCGACTCGGCCGGCAGCACACGCATACTCATCCAGGCTGTGCCTCCCCGTAAATGCATGTACTTATGTGCTTAACGAATGATCCAGCTGCAACGTCAGACAGACAGACAGACAGATCAACGTTCGGTCCTCATGTGTGTCTGTACAAGTCCAGCACACGCATTCATCCACGAGCGATGCAGCTTAATTAGTCCACCGCACAGCGGCCACCCATGAGAGCATCCCGCCATCGTGGCACTCAGCCTCCCAACATCTATTCCTCTGCACGATCTACAGCTAGCATGGGCCGGCCGACCTGACGGGCAAACAACAATGCGGCCCAATAGACACCACAGGCAGTGGAGAAGCGCGCGCATACAAGACAGCCAAACCGCACCTGTCGTCTTTCGTCAGGTGTCAAGCCGCTTGAGAATGAGTTGCTGTCGAGAGTATTTCCAGCCCCACTCGATGTCATACCGCCCCTCCACCCCCTCAATGGTGTAGCCATGTGTCCGCTCCTCCACCAGCCGCTTGAAGGTATCGGGCGGCCGCACCGCGAACTTGAGCTCCTTGATGCCTCGGATCTTGAGCAGCGACTTGACACACGCAATGCCGAACTCGCCAGCGGCATCGCCATCACCCAAATCATGAGGCACTGCACACACAAGAAGGCATACATAACATCCAATGGGCTGGCGTGCGAGAGCTGCCGATTGGTTGCAGCTCACCTTCTATGGTAATAACCAGCCGTGTGATGGTCGGAAGCTGATCGGCACGGTCGCCCCACGTCAGCCCCCCCTCACCCACACCCGTCACCCACCCGAGGGTGAAACACTCCAACGACTTCCCCCCGCCCACCGCCTCCAGCACCCCCACCGCTTGCTCCTCTGTCGGGCCCAAGAGGTCAATGCTCTTCACGACGGGCATCTTGCTCAGCAGCCTGCGGCCACCCGCATGCTGCTTGCTGGTTTGAATCGAGAGACGCGATGCGGCCGGGAATGCGTTGTGGGACATGCTGTCAATCACAACTGGGTCAGCCTGGTCTACATCAACGTCGAGCTCGTCGCCCCAGACCTCCACGGTCGCCGCATTGGGGAAGGTCAGGGACTGTGCAAGGACGATGGCAGTGGGGCTGGGCGTGTCGAGTGGGGTGGTGAGGTGGTGGGGGCGATGGTGAAGGACACTTCGGAGGCTTTGGCAACCAGCTCTTGGATGTGTCTCTGCACGAAGGGGGAGGGCTCCGGGCTTGTGGGAGTGTCGCAGAGGAGCGACAGGTCGAAGACTTCGATGGCGGTCTTGACGTCGACGGGGATGTCGGGCCTGACGCACACGGCACGTGTGGAGGCCTCGATGGCCGAGAGGGTAGCGAAGATGCTGCTGTCGATGCACCAGTCCTCGAGCTTGATGCTGAGCTTCTTGATGGAGCGGCAGCCACGGTCGACAAGGACGGCCTGCACAAAGACACACGCACATTACAAGCAAGCTCTTGCCCACTCTCTCTCTCGTGTATCTTGTGTGGCTCGCCGCACACCTGAAGGCCCTCCAGACCCCTAGCGCCAGTTCTCATCCTGAGGGTCCCGATGTCCTCGAGCTGTGACAGCGGCCCCGGCTGGCCGGCGGCTGCCACAGTGATGCGCCTCAGCGACTCAGCCATGGCGTCAGGATTGCTTTCCACGTGCAGCTCCTTGAGGCGCCGTGACGTAGCCACCAGCTCTCCCAACACCCCACCGTCATCCACCCTCCCCTCGACCTGCACCTGCACCCTCTCGAGTGACGGCAGCTGCCAGTGGCGCCCGCGGCCGAGACAGATGCCGTCACTGGATGTCCCTTGCACTGTGATGGATCTGAGGGATGTGAAGGTGGGGGGCGGGTCGAGGGGAGGGGCGAAGGCCGCCGACGGCTCTGTCGCAGCAGCTCGGATATCGCGATACTCGTCCTCGTCGAGGCCCATGGCAAAGTTGCCTCTTCTGTATTCGATCGACTCCAAGGTGGTTGGCGCCCTCTGCCCGGCTGCCAACATCACTGCTCTCCGCCCCTCGCTGTGGCCCTCCACCAATGCCGTGACGATCTTGTCGCTCATCCGCGACAGCACAGTGTCGTAGTCATAAACGTGCCCACTTGGGGTTTCTCTTAGGATGCGGAGGGCCCAGGGAGACTTGACGACGATGGACTTGAGCCGTGTGAGCCGCCGGCCCCACTCGAAGGCGTCAGCGAATGAGAGGCCGCACCAGAAGCGCCGCTCGGCGGTGTCGTGGGTGTCCATTACCAGCTGGGTGATCTGGCAGCCGACGTGGCGCCACAGCCGCTGGGGCAGCGCCGCCACCAAATGAAGCGACACGAACGAGAAGACGTAGGCAACAACAACAGGCTGAGTGGACAACACACACCACACAGAGAGAGCAGACAATGAGGATGTGTGTGTCTGCCAGTGGTTCGTTTGATGCATCTTACGATTTGGCTGAATCGCTGTGCGAAGGCCTCCAGATCTATCCTGTGTGTAGTGTGCGATGCCGTGACTGGCTGCTGCTGCTGCTGCTGCTGCTGGCCGTCGGTGTCCATCTCGGCCTCGCGTCCATCATCCAAGTCATGCTCCTCTCCCTCGACTGTCTGCCTCTGCCGCTTCAATGCCGACTCACTCATCGCTCCTCACCACCGGCCAAAGCTATGTCTTGACAGAAGCACCATGCTCTAGCCAACTGAGC